AAGAGAAAGGAACGAATAGAAAAAGACGATGAACGAAAGAGAGAGATGAGAGAATGATGAAATTAATGGGTGAATTTTTGAAATAAAAGAAATGAATAATTAAATAAAACAGCAAAAAACTTATCATTACGTTCCACTTCAATCATTTTTTTTTCTTTGCCTTACAGATTACAAGTTTAAATTAATAATTATGTACGAATAATTTGCAGGAATATTTCGCGATCAATGCAGGCAAAATGTTTTTTCACACACAGTATTAGCGGTCGGATTTACGGAAAATTATATTTTATTAAAAAACACGTAAAAGCCTTTTTTGATTTTCAAAATTTTTTAACAATATATGGAATAATTTTGCTTAATCGAAAACATATTTACTTATTTCTCTGTTTTCACCTCACTCATGAAACTTTTTGATCGGGTAAAAATTAAAGCTTTATGAAAGCTAATGATAAAGTCAAACTGTCAACCAAAATGATGTAAACATATTGCATTTTTTCTGCACTTTTTATTTTTACATTGCATTTTCTGAATTTATTTATTGAAAGCAACGTTTTTATTTTAAGTGAATAATTCATTCGTACTGTCATTGGTAGACTTGTTTGATTATTTGTTTACAGAAAAGTAATAAAACTTTAACACATTTTCAAATCAATAAAATTATTAAAAATTTTTTGATTAGTGAAATAATTAAATTAATGAATAAATTAATGCTAAATAATTTCAGTTGGGGTACCAAATGGGGTGAAAATGGATATATGCGTATTTCGACAGATCCAAAAGAAAATTGCAATTTATATATTGAATCGCTTGCAACACTGTAAGGAAAAGGAAATTGAAAAAAACCGAATAGTTATTTTTATCATAAATGGCATTGTATTTTGTAGAATACCGAATTATGGAAATTTTACTAAAACAAATATAATAAATTTCTTTTTAATTGTTGTATTTGATGGCGTTAATAATAAAATTATATTAATAGCATTAATTAAAAATCATTTATTGTGCTTTTTTTTTAAATAACAAAAAAATATAGTTATTTAGTCATTTATTTGACAGGAATTGTTAATGTGATATTAAGATAAGTATTTAAAATTCATAAATATTTCGGTTGATAAACATTTTAAATTCATATTTTAGTTAATAAACATTTCACATTCAAAGTTCATGCGACACTTAATAGCAAATATTGATTGATACATCTTATTTCGATTAATGTGTTAAAACTTTTTTTTTCATTTCCATTGCCAAATGTTAAATTTGTCATGTGCTGCTATCGTACATCAATGAAATCAATATCTCTAATACTAAAATTTTAATATCTTAACTTTAAATCGTGACATAAAGTATGCTATGATTTATAATTTGTGAAATGTGTTCGGAAATTGGACATAAACATCAAACAGTAAAAACGAATAATTTAAAACGATGTATATCAATTTGAAATTGAATCGGGAAAAAGTTGGAATAATGAAAACGACGAAAAATAAATTTTTAATGTTTCACTGAATTTTCAAACATTATTAATCTAATCATAAATTTTTTTTTGATAAACTTAATATATTTAAAAGAAAATATCAAATACGAATTGGAAGAATGAAGGAATCAGCGAGGATTTATACTTTTGGATTAAAAAACAATTCAACAATTTTTTTTATTTGAAAATTTTTAAATACACGGTAACAATTCGCGGTATCACAAATAATTTTTAATTTTAATATGTGCTTTATTTTATTTACAATTAATCATACTATTATTACTCATGATTAGACTATTTTTAAATTCCGTTTTTTTTACTTTAAATTTTAGTATTTTGTTTTATCTTTCTTGTTTTTCCTAAGCAGGTACTTTTTTTTCTTTTTTAAATTTCAGTTTACAATATTACTAATACATCCATTGGTTATATTGTTGAGTATGTAATTTACACTAAATATTTAAATTTTTTCTTTTTTTTAAATTCTATTGTTTTTATAATGTTCAATTTTAAGTTACTTTTTTAATATATTAATTACTTATTTAACAGTGATGATCTGTGCAATAAGTATCATTATTGCCTTGATAAAAAGCATTTAATTAGTACATTTAATTAGTATTAGTATAAAGCTAAGAATTGAATTTGAAATTCAGGATTGTTAAAATTTTTGGATTAAAATTAAATTCACATGCAGTAGTATTTTCGGGTTCAAGTGTGTGGATTCAGATTAATCCTATACATTTAGAATCAGATATACCGAAGATGAACTTAAAACAATTTTTTGTTAGCAATTACGGATGTTAACAATTATTATCGGATTATTTGGAATCTTTTTCAACTAGATTTCATTTCCCTTTTAAATTAAATAAAAATTAAATAATGTTTCAAAAACAAATTAAATTTTGTTTTATTTGGTTGAAAACTGGTTGGTTGTCTAATTCCTGTACATGCTGCATGCTTATGCATGCGTATACCTCATCCATTTACATGTGTTGTTCTTTCACTGTGATTTTAGAACAAAAAACTTTTAATTTCCATTTCATTTCTTTTTTCCTCTCCAAATTAAATACCATAATGATGGAACAGCAATCTCGCATGCTTTAACTATTTTCTCGATAATAAATTCACTAAATGGACTAAAATTTCACTGCGAGTCGTTTCGACGATTAAATTCGTGCTCCCGTTCTCCATGTCAGTGTATATGTGTATGTGTATGTGTGTATGTGTGTATGTGTATGTGTGTATGTATGTGTGTATGTGTATGTGTGTATGCGTGCGTGTGTGTGTATGTGTACATGCATGGAGATTTGTGTGTACATATTCATGTATGTGTATGCATTGTGTGTGTCGGCGAAATAATAACATTTTAACGGGCAGCAGGCGTTGTAATGATCAGTGTTGCTTTCAGTAAACCGTTTGGTGTTGGTGGTTGGTGACGATCTCGCCAAAAGGCATATTGTGTTCTCGTCGATCACTAATTTATTTCTCTCCTGCCTTTTCCTGTACATAACATATATTATTTCTTCTACTAATTATATTTGTACAAAATGACACGTAAGTTTTTATTTAAATGCTTTAATTTTAGCACTAATTCGTTTTTTTTTTAATTGTATGTTTTAAGATACACGTGTATTTGTTGGTTATTTTTCAAAGTGTTATCTTAATTTGTTAGGATTGAGTGTTTAAATTTGTTTCATATTTCGCTAATTATCGCTGCACTTTTTATCACCATATTTCATGTGGTGTTTCCGTTATCACAAAACATTTATTAATGTGTGAGAATTTTTTATGCAAAGTTCTTCTATTGCAGTGATACAGATGATGTTGATAACAAACAACAAAGAGGAAGAAAATACATTTCGAATAGAAATTTAATTTTTATTCACAAACTTTTTTTTGGCATACAAGTTGTACGAGAAAGATGTCACATATATTCATTTATACATGAACCAAAAGCAACTGCAAATACGCTTTCAGGTGGTAATCAGCGTGAACTTGCTCGTGAAAGAAATTTGAAAAAACAGCAACAGCAAAAGAAATCGCAACCTCATCAGGATGTTAGTGAATTATTTGTTTTGTTTCACGTAAAGGAAAATTTTCATTTTTAAACGTCCTATTCTCCTTTTCCATCCACCAATACGTGCGCTGAAGACATTATTAATTAAATCGATTCATTTAAATTATATCGTTATGGAAATTCCGTTATTATTTGGCGAATTAACTAACATTTTACCGAAATATGTTCCGTGTAATGGAATTAAGAGAATGATAACTACAGTATCCTAAACTGCGAGTGCAGCTATATGGAAGTTAATAAATCTAAGAAATAATAATCTTGGTATGTAAATATGAAATGTTTTACTAAAAGTTTCAGATTTCATGATTTCTGAAACTCATCGAATTAATGGACGGAACCACGTCAGTGTCGGATTGGAGCAAAAATTTACTTTGCTAAGGGATTTAGTGAACATCTATGGAATTTGATTTGGACATTATTCGTTATGAAAAGTGATGACGGTCGAATGATGCTCATATATGACAACGATAAGCAATCTGAGAGAAAAAAAATAGGTTTCAAAGTGATTGCTAAAGTGGCTTATCGATAACTAATAGGCTTAAAAGAAAATAACTTCCGCAATAGGAAAATGAGGAACGCCGTAAGCATTGGCGAAGCATTATTGAAATGATGGACATATGTGAACCTTCAGGAATTTTTGAACCGATATTTACTGATGACCAATTTCAGGGTGTAAAACTGGATAATAGGATGGAACGAGATGCAGACATTATGCGTAAGAAGCAGGAAGCAGCGGCAGCAAAGAAAGCAGCAGAAGAAGCAGCTGCGCGTACTGAAAAAAATAAAAAACTCCAAGTGTTTGATCCATTGAAATGATCCTTTTATTATCAACAGTGGAAAAGCATATATCAAAACACCGCCCTCTGCTTTATATCATTTCTTTACTTTCTATCGAAGCTAACGTTTGCTTTTCTGTCGTTTTAGAATTTGCACCATTTGTCTTTATATGAAAAAATCTCTAGCTTGATGGTATGACTCTAGCTATATTAGGAACATCGTTGTTTCTAATTATTCATTTCATGTACTTTTGTATTATTCATTCCTTTCATTCTATCGGAAGAGTGTAATTAATCAGTTGGTTATTTGGAAGCGAACTTCAGGAATCCGGGACAGTGAATAATATTCACTATGAAGCTTCCGATTTGCAACAATCATTTGGTCAACAATCGGTGTTATTAAGGAATTACGCATAAATGTCATCTGACCGCAAACAGAAACTTTTTGCCAAAAATAGACTTTAGGATTTTCTCGTAGATTATATGAGAATGGAGGGAGTTAAATATTTTTCCTTCTCTATTTTATGTTGGAGCGAACATTTGAAAGGGATTTCATTTCCGTAATATTCATTCTCAGTTACCATAGTCAATTCATATTTGATGTGACGCTATAAACTTCCAGACATTTAACCGGTGACTTGGAATAGATATCGAAATACTGGTGAGCGTACACTGAAGTCAATATTTCATTTTTTTATAAAGATCGCACGGATTCAACACATATTTTCACAGATAAAAGTGCACAACATCTGGGAGGTGATTCTTCGAGAAACAAAAAGATTCTTCAAATTTCATTTATTAAAAATGTGAAAAAATAACGCAATGAACAGATGTTCATGATATCCACAATTGCTGCTAAACTTTCTTCCCTGCTTTCTTGTTTTTATCTTGGATAGCCTGAAAATGTTGCAGTTTTACTGGTTTCATCATCGTTAATCAATGTAATACGTTAATCAAATGTCTAATGAAAATAGCTTTACTTACTTAACCATTCGAGACCAACCCGTATCACTACACAATCAGCTGTAGTCATGATACTTTTGCTATAAGATCGACATTATTAAGTACAGCGAGGAAAACACGAAAAGAAAATCTCTTCCAGATTTCAGAGTCCCGAGAAAAGCTGACGATAAAATGAGAGCAATAATAGGAGAGGAGAAAAGGTATTTCACCTGATAGTAACCGGTGTGATAGCCAGTCATATACCATGACATTAGCATACTCGCCAATGCTTCGTCATCATTCGGTGGTTGTAAATTGGCAAAGACTATCGGCGGAGGTGGAACGAACGGCGGAATCTGGGAAAAAGATTTTTTTCTTTTACATCGAATCATACCAAATTTGGTGATTACAATTGAACAAAATTAGTAGCGCACATGCACTTTTCCAAACTTTCAAGCACTAAGTTTGAATTTTGCTGAAGGACAGATAACGATTTTGTAGAACTTAACGTACTTTGATTTGCTTTGAAAAAAAAAACAAACTCACGGAAGTATGTTGATTTGTCGATGGTGACTGCGCATAACTGAAATGCTTCGTCGCTGTCTGCATATCATTTATCGGTAACATTTTTTCTTCCGTGTCGAATGTTTCTTGGGTGGTATTTTCTTCCGATGTACCCTCCTCATCGTTCTTCACCGGCCTGTTCAGTTCGGAACGTTGAAACACAAACGCAAAAGCGTGAAAATGGAAAGGAAGAATAACATACTAAATTTCTCAAGTTGATAAATAAAACCGAGAAAAGGATAGTTGCAAAAGAATGGAAAAAATTAACTAATTCTGTTTGGAATAATTTCAAACAAAATATACTGGTAAATTTTGTATATGTCTAACTGAAAAATTCTTTTAAAGATTTTGGATCTCAATATATCAACACGATTTGGCAGCCATAAAGAGAATAGCTTTGCAGTACCAGCAAGTCGTGTGTAATTGATGCAGATACTTGCCGTAGTGATAATATTAATGGCGGCAGTACAAACTATCTGCCAAATGGGATTAAATGGAATGGTGATAAGCCTCTCAGCAAAAGACCGGTATCGCACGTCTATTTTCAATTTGGATGCAAAACCATCGAGATAGGCTTTTCAAATTATTTCGGTAATGTAACGACTGCACAATAACCACTAGATATTACCAGTGCAAGGCAAAGGACCTCATAAAAGCTCACTTCTGATGTCTGAGGTTATCCAATACACGCATCAGGTAGACAGTTCGTGGTAAATCAAACGGAACGTTTCTTTGAAGGGTAGCGTTATTCGACAGTGTGGTAAACATCTGCAGGTCCTTTTTCCGTCTTTTGCCTGCGCACTCCATTTGCATAACATTTGTATAGCCCGGGTAATATTTTTTAGTTTTACGCTTACGACACTGTTGCGGCTGTTGTTGTTGTTGTCCATTACCGTAATTTCTTGGACGCATGGCAAAACGTGAAAAACTAAGCCATCGGCGTCTCATAAGTGGCATTGATGGCCTGATACGTAACCTCCTGCGGGTATGGAAAGCGCTTGAAAACTTTCACGAACTAACATTTTTTGTTGGGAATAGGAAAAAGGAAATTTGACTTCGAGTCTTCAACAATTATTAGGAAACAAATATATGCGTGCTTTTGTGCCATTCCAACGCCTAAAACTTCGATGCCTAAAACTTCTAAAACCCATGAAGTTCTAAATATGCACTACACCAGAAGGCTGTGAATACGGCTTTGCACAGCAACAACAACATTTCCTTTCATCGAAAAAAGCGCTTATTGCAGTTTGAAAGCAAATGAGGATCATTAGCACCACCATTTAACACTGTTTAAGAAACGGCAAAATTAATATCAGAAACTCCTTTTCTTCCTGCCTCGAAAATTCTATTTTTGAAAATTTCGAACCAATTATGTATGATTATTATGTGCTTCACTAACATTGAAGTTTTATAATTAGCGTCATGTTCGTGTTTCCTATCCCTTT